ATTTACTTTAAAAAAATTCAAAAAAGTTCAAAAATAACGATTATGACAATTGTCACTTTTCTATGGTAAATCTTCACATAAATTTTAACTTAATATGTTTACAATATATATTTTTATCTATATGCTGACTAAATAGATCAACTTAGTCGGGTCGTTTTAGTCGACTTAAATTAGTCGTTTTAGTCGACTATATTAGTCGTTTTAGTCGACTATATTAGTCGTTTTAGTCGACTATATTAGTCGTTTTAGTCGACTATATTAATCGTTTTAGTCGACCAAATTAGTCGACTAATAGACTAATTTAGTCGCTAAAGTTTTTAGTCGATTTCCATGACTACGACTATTAGTCGTAGTCGAAAGAACTCTACTAATTAACAACACTACTTGAGGGTAAGGACGTATTTAATCTTATATACATATTTTTAATATAAGATAGATTATCAATAATTTTATTTGCAAGCACATCGTATGTCTGGCATCCTATTATCATTTTGAGGGCTAATGCCACAGATCTTTTAAATTCCTATGGTCTAGCCAATGGCCTGTGATTCCCAAATAAGCTCAAAAATATTTAATCAGATCAATTACCTATGTGTCCAACTATCTGCCGTGGTACATATATATGATATCTCTGATAACTCTACTATTAGAGCATCTTTCATCATTTTAAAGTTATCTACTATTTTATTCATTAGTGTCTGGCGGCATAAAATTCTTTTACCAGGGGATAGAATTTTAATCATCATGGTAAATGATGGATTATCAACCAGGCTGAACCTTATAAATTATAAAATCAACAATAACTTTATCAGCCAATTTCTGAGAAATATTGTCATTTTTGCATTATTAATTAATTTGGTTTGAATTAAATTAGTCTTTTTGGATGTAGAGTCGCCTTACCAAAATTATTTAGATGTTTCTCCATTTCCTTAAAACTTATGAACAGTCTTATAAAATAAATAATAAATATTATAAGAATGTAAAAATGACAATTTACTTTTAGGTGTTTCTTGGGGTTATAGCATATTTTTTTTACATTTTAAACAAATAAATTTGAAGCCAGTTTTGGATTATATATTTATTTTAAAAAAATTTCAAATCTAGGGAATGGGAAATTTGTATTATAGCTATTAAGAACATTTTCTTCCCTGGTATCTTCCATTTCATTAATATCATTGTCTGAATCACTTTCAACGATTTGGATATCCATAGGCGAACACATTTTAAATTATTAACACGTGATTTAGGTTTATAATACAAATGAAAATATAAATTACAAATTGAAAATATATTTCAATTTCAAAATTAAATAATATCATAAAAATTATAATTAATCATGATATTATATTTAAATTTTCATGTTTATACTTACCTTCATTATATTTTTTAAAAGTAGTTAAGTAGCGGCTACTTAGCTACTTTCAAAAAAAATAGCACGCTAAAAAATTAAATAATTACAAACCGTTATTAGCTATATCTACCAAAAAAGTTAGCGCGCTTCTTTAACAACTCTGATGCCTACCCTATAAATTTTAGACAATTTTGCCATGAATTTTTGAACGTAATATAATTTATATTAAATTTTCCACATATTTTTTATATAATTTATAAATGACTTAAAGGTTTGTCTACAATTCATAACATAGGTATTTCAAACATGATGGAATTTATTTCCAGTAAAATCAGATTTTTAAATTTAAAGTTGAAAAAATAACACACTGTCAGGAAAAACACATTGACGCTAATATATACAATATATCACTATAAATTAAAAGAAAAATAAATAAAAGTTAATAATTTTTTTAAATAATAATTGAAAATTTCTAGTTATAAAAAAAACAAGTGAATTATAAACATAGTCATCTATATCGTGACCTAGAAACCGTAGTTTTTTCTTCAAAAATATACTTTTTGTGAAGTTTGGTGTAAGCCCATACTTTGATATTTTGTCAAATACCATTTTTATGTTGATCACGTGAGTTTCATCGTCCTCCCCAGTAATCAATAAGTCATCAATATAAAACACGACGTCTTTCATGTTCCCGAAAATATTGTCCATAGTTTGTTGAAATATTGCTGACGAAGTTTTTAATCCAAACGGAAGTCTTGTAAACCTGAAATAGCCTTTATGAGTTGAAATAGTGAGAAAATCTCTTGATTCTTTGTGTATTGGAACTTGAAGAAATGCATTTTTAAAGTCGATCTTTGTAAATTTCTTGCCTTTCGATAACTTTGCTATAAGATCATTGATGCGTGGAATTGGGTACTTGAAATCTTCTAACGCAGGATTAATAGTATTCTTGAAGTCAGCACATAGCCGAAGTGAACCATCGCTCTTGACAACAGGAGTGAGAGGACTGGCCCATCTTACCTCTTCAACAGGTTCGATTATTTTGTCGCTTATCCACTTCTGTAGTTCTTTTGTAACCAAGTCAATTCTTGAATAAGGTACACGCCTGGGAGGTATTATTTTCGGTGTAGCACCTTGTTTTAGATGTAGTTTGACATAATTGCGTAGTATTGGTTTCTTGCTAAGTTTTGACTCGCATTGTTTGATCAGTTCTTGAATAGTATTGTCATAATCTTCTTCGACTAAGTTTACAAATCTATCTAGTATATTTCTAAAGACTGCTATCCAGGTCCTACCCAAAAGTGGAACCTTGTCACTCTGGACAACATAAGCATCTAATGTTTGGGTTTTGTCTTCGAACTTCGCCTTTACTTGGACAGTTCCTAACACCTTTATTGTTCTCCCATCATAACCAGTTAATTTTGTGTCTGATTTATTTAATATTTTGATACTAATCTCTTTTGCAACATACATCGGTAGGATACTATACCTTGATCCGGTATCAATCTGCATCAAAATAGGCATGTCGTTCAAATATACCGTGACCTTATAAGCATCGTTAGCTGTGTAATTATTATCGGCATCCATGTTGTTTATGTCTGAATTGTATAAATTATATTCTTTTCTTTCTAGTTTGTCATTATCATCTTCTTTTATCTCTTCTATATTTACAGTGTTTACTTTATTTGTATATCGTGATTGATTATTGTCGTTGTTATGATATTTACAATTGCACATTTGATTTGTTCCTCGATTTCCAATATTATGATTATCGTTATATCTTTGAATACATCTTGAATCGTTATAATGTCTGTTATATCTGTAATTATAATCATTATTAAATCTATTATTATTATAGTCATTTTTATTATAACTAGCTCTATTATCATATCTCGAAGAATTATTGAATAATCCTGGGTAATTTGCCCTAACGTTTTTGTAGTTACCCGCATTATAGTTCTGATGTCTAGGGTTGTAATTATTTCCCTGATAATTATTTCTTTGAAAGTTGTTGTTTCTCGTAGTCCATAGTTGTCTGTTATCGTTATTCGATCGTGGATTATGTCTATCGTCGTATCTGACCACCTGTTTGTTTTCTTCAACTTTCATGCCTCTTTGTCTTTCCAAATGTTTTACGCTTGTTTCTTCTTCAGTCTTTTCACTTAAAGAAATGTTTTCAACTTATTTTCTTTTAATTCTGTCTCCTCAAAATCATCTCTTAAACTTAAAGACTTCTGCTAACGTAATATTCTCTTTCAACGTAATTTTCTGCCTGATACTTCTGCTATTTGATGAAATTTTTACTTTTTCAATGACTCTACTATCGCTTAACGAACATTCATTTTGTAAAATACATAATCTACTTACCCAATTGATGTAACTTTCATTTTTACCTTGTACAGCTGCATTGAATAATAACAATTTCGAACTTGTAGATTTCCTCGGGTGTAATAACCTAAATTTTTCAATCAATATCGATGGATTGATGAAATCGGTAGGTGAACATATCGATTTGAGCTTGATGTATTCTTCGTCTGGTAGTCTTCTTGTGAAGGATCATGCTTTTTCGATATCAGAGATCTGAGCATCGTTGAATATGTCTTCGAAACGACAGAAAAACATCGCCATTACCTGTGTATGTTGGAAATTCAATATTAATATTAACGTTATTATTTGAGGTCTGTTTCATAATTTATAATTTACAATATCCTTGAATTTTTCTATTTTATAGTATTGGATTTTATAAAAATTTTAAGAAGTTAATTTATATTTAATATTTTAGAAAATTTTATTTAGGATACGCTACCACCATGAAATTTCTAAAGATTTCTAATGGTGCAGACTTCAAGAATACAATTTTTAAGTCAATTTATTGATATTTAAATTTAAAAAATATAATTATCACATAACTCAAAATAGTTTCCTATATATATTGACAATTTAATTTAATGTAGTTTATAATAAATTGATCTTTTTAAAGTTAAAATATAAAATTGAACATTCGTTTTTTAAGTAAATTGATTTATAAAATATAAAATTTAATATTAGTTTATAAGCAAATTGATTTTTTAAAATATAAAAGTTGTTTTTAGGCTGCGTCCAAATTCATTTGAAAAAATACTTAAAATTTTCACAAATTAATAACAAAACACTTTGGACACATTTAAGTTTCAAAATAATAAGTAAATTCAATTCAAATTGTTAAGGCAGTTTGTATTGCATAATATAATAATAGATAGAGAGGGCTTCAAAATATAGAGCTTAGTTCAATTGATCTATTGAATCTAAATACCATCGCTCAAATGAGAACTCTAATAATATAAGAGAAAATTTTATAAGATATGTAAATATTTAATTTATTATATTTTTTATTATCTTTCATTTATAAATTTAATAAATACATATATATTGTAAATAATTGCATCAAATAAACAGTTTTTTTATTTGAATATTGATAAATTGTCAGAGAATAATTTTTTAAATTTAAATATATCATCAATTGTCATAGCATTAGTTTGATCCAAAAAGGATTGATAGAATCCCATCATATGATGTACATCCTTAATCTTTTCCATTTTATTCGAATCTAATATTTCTATTTTTTTTAATAATATAAGTGTTATTTAATATTTTACCTTTTAGAATCTCTGTTCTTTCAGATTCTATAACTTTTAATTTTTTCCTTTTAAATATAGGAGTTGGAATATTTTTAATGATAATTGGGTTTTCATTCTCTTTGTTTGTGGTATCTTGATCTAACTATTATTCAATAATAAATATAAAATAATAGTAAAATAATGTACAGCATCCAATTCAAATACTGGATTAGCAATTTGATTCAGATATGATTCTGCCTAAAAATAAATTACTTTTTAATACAAATATAAAATTTCCCAGATGGCTATTTTCATATTCCTAATTAAAATCAATTTATATTTTTGTCTTTTAATATTTTACATTTGTCTGTGTCAATATCAAGCTTGACTCAGAAAATTTAGTAATATTTTCAACATTTTCCTTCAACCATGAATAATTTTCAATATATATGACATCTTTCCCTTTAAGAACTCCAGATCCAGATCCAGAACCTAAAATATAATATAATTTAAAAATAAAATTTTTATTTTTACCTGATTTTTGCTGGGTGAGAAAATATAACTTATTAAATTTAGCCTTTACTGCTAAAAATTTTTCTTCACTTGATCATAATTCAAGCTATAGGTTTTTCCTATTTCCTCCCATATTCGCTTGTTTTCTACAGAATCTCTAAATTTTAGGTCACTTTTACACCAGAGGCTTCTGTGCTCTCTGATGCTCTCCATAAAATTATACTCAGACACTAAAAAATATATTAATATATAAAGAATTTGCCTAATTTCTATAGAATCTCTATTTAATCACATAAGGTGATGTCAAAATATTAGCTCAATAAAACTTAGTAAATATTTTCTATATAAATAGTCTATGTCTTAATAAATCATACACTATTATTCTTTTTACATTAATTTCTAAAGATAATGGCTAAATTATGGTTAAAAAAAATACAAAGGTCTTGTGAAAAACATGGGCATTCATTCCAACAGCTTTATTCTTATTAAATGTAAAATCCTAGAAAGACATCAAATTTTAATCTCTGTTATTAATTATTGTTTCAAAATTTATAATATAGACACTTACTAATCTTAAATGTACACTTCTCCCAACCATGTTATCCCTGATATTTTTATTTATTGGATTTTCATAATCGTTTTGGTTAAATTTATAAAAATTAATATCATTAAAAATTTTACTTACTATTCTTCTAAAAATTTCAAAATTTTGAATATATTTTTATTCAACTTTATTTTTTTTTATTATTTTTTAAAAAAAAATAAATTTTTACAAATACCGAAAAATGAAATAGGACACTATTTTATTTTTACATTAAAAATAGCTTATGTTATTTTTTTCCTCAAAATTTATTTATTTATTTTTTTTTTTTAATGACTTTGGACGCAGCCTTAACAAAAAGAAAGAAACAATTCTTATTACATTTGAAATATTTTAAGTTACGCCATAAATATCTTAAGGATGTAAAAAAACAATTTTTTAAAGTTAAGATAAAATACATGAGTGTCACTGTTTAACAATAGCTAAAGGCCTATAATATAATAATTGGAACTAAAGACCTCCAATAAAATTTATGGGGTGCCCCCCTCCCTTGGCAAATTTTTGGCTATGCCTATGTTTAGAGTGGAACTAATTAAGTTAGAAAATAAACAATCCATAATTTGCATCTTTATTATAATTATAGGAATTTATCTATTAACTTCCATTTCATCATTATTTCTGTATCATCATTCACTTCCTTATTTATAGTTGCATATAAATGTTTCTGAGATTTATAAAAATTGAAAGTCCTTGTATTTTATGATTACATTTTTTGCGCACTGCTTGAATATTTTTTTTCTTTTTAATCTCATTTAAAAAAATCCTTTTTTTGACCCACAATTATAAATGTAGAAAAATTTTATTTTATGTCAAAAATTCTATATGTGAAATTTTTAAAATAAAGCTTTTTTATCAGGATTTCATTTTTTGCGCACTGCTTGAATATTTTTTTTCTTTTTAATCTCATTTTAAAAAATCCTTTTTTGACCCACAATTATAAATGTAGAAAAATTTTATTTTATGTCAAAAATTCTATATGTGAAATTTTTAAAATAAATCTTTTTTATCAGAAATGGACATAATTACTTTTTAAAAATGTAATTAATCCCTAATTACAATTACCTAAAAAATTTTATATTTAAATTATACTAATTCTTTTTAAAAATAAATTTTATCAAGAAAATATAAAAACGGTCATTCTATAAAAATGGAAGTGGGACTCATAATTATATTGAAATAATAATTTGTATTATTTGTTTCAAAAAAATTCTTTGGGTTCTGATGCAATGCTCTGATTTTGCCGCCTTTATTTTTTTAAATAAACTTAAAGTTCTATTTAAAATATGTCCAAGGGAAGAAGTGATAACTATTGGTATAAACATAATTAGTTAATTTCGAATATTTATTTATTTTTTGTCTCGTCAACATCACCCGGAGATAGAAAAAAAGGCATGTGAAGTCCTAAATTATCGATGTACTAAGTATTGAATTTAACCATTTTTATCAGGCCTTCATCTGATGATAAATTAGCAAGCTCCAGAATGTTTGATATTCGGGCGGACCCTCGTAAGACTACGACTAATTATTAAATTAATCTCCGCATACATATCTGTTTTGATTATATGTGCAATTATGGCCGTGTCTCCCTTTGCAATAAACCGTCTTTTTACATATGTTATATATGGTTTAATGATGTCATTAATTCTGTTACTTATGGCAACTCGTAATTGTACATCTGATAAGAGGTTTACGACTTGGTAACGTCTCCAACTATTCATAGCAGTATTACATCGGTATTTTGTGTAATAGTTGATTTTCCAAAGGAGGTTTCGACAAGAATAAGAAGATTTTTAGTCAAAGGTTCAAAAGTTGTTTGATATGTTAAGACTGGATAAAACAGCTTCTGGCAAAGCCAAAATGTTTAAACATTCAAGATCGAATTTAAATGGTTATCTTTGGGAGTGATAAAAGAAGAATATCTTTGCATAGTTCATTAAACGAGAAGAAAAATATGGTGATAATATTTAAATTCTTAAGGTAATTGTGAGAAGGGCCAGTTAAAATCTGCATATTTAAAATATATTTCTAAACCTTTATGAAAACGATTAGAAATTTTATTAAAAAAAGGTCCATTTCCATGTCAAATTAAAAAAAGGCACATTTTCGGCCGACCCTTTTTAAAAATTAACGGAATTGCAGTTTATTTTAGTTCGCTAGCACACCTGATTCCCTAGATAGCATCAAGGATGCGAAAAATGTGACTTTCGAATCTGTAAAAATTTTTTTAAATGCATATATCTTAAAAACTAGTTATAGTAAAAATAAATTTAATATATCAAGTTATAGGTAGAAAAAATTCTAAACTATCATGAGAAAGATAAATTTAAGCCTTTAACTTCCGGTTTACCTATATTGCCTTACCCGTGTTTATAAGCAATAAAGGAAGTTGGTTTTCAAAATTTTTTTCGCCTTTTATATAGATACCTTTTATATACGATGTGAAAACATTGATGATGCTACCGGCTCTTCTAAAATTATAGATTTTTACCCAAAATTTAAATTTTTACTTGAATAAAATAGATGGCGCTATACGAAACTACAATGTTATTTTACCATACTAACTTTTAAATCATAAATTCTTATTTAAATATAAATATTTATTAATTCTTCCGACTACTTCCTGTTCAGCCAAAAGAATTACGAGCAGTCAAAATAAAATAACTGTATGGGGAATAAAATTTTAGACCTTTTTAGAGAATTTAATATTCAATGAAATTGATAATTTTTTACACATTTTTCGATCATCATCTTTTATTAAAAACAAGGAAACCTTCAAAAATTCAGGATAAATTTAAAATATTTCTAGAAAAGATTTTGAACATTAACTTAAACCCATTCAATTGGTCACTCGCCCAGTCACCTTTCTAAATAAGGCGTTTCGATTTTTTGCCATTCAATCTTTTATCCTTATCATTTTTATCATCCAGATTAACAAACAATTCTATGATTTCAGGCTTCATATGCCCTATGACAAATGGAAGGCTAATTATACCCATTAACACTCATAATCACGCACAAAAATATTTTCACATCTTTAATTTCGAAATAACAAACCGATATATCAGGCAATCCACCTTTAGGTTGCATTCAACTTTTTCAATCATCTGATAGACTTGGTGGTCATGAATACCTAGAATCACTCCCTAGTAGTAACCTTGGTAATCTCTTATCAGACGAACTGAAAGTAGCCATTGGTTTACGTCTAGGTTGTGACATCCTACAGCCTCATGCTTGCATCAAATGCAAATCACCCCTCGATTTAAAGGGTAGGTGCGGCCTTAATTATATATTAAACCAAAGGCGACACCAGCGCCACACAGCAATAACCCATGTAATAAGTCAAGGTTTAACAGCCACCCACATTCCGAACCATCTGGAACCCACAAATTTATCTTAAGTACTTAAGACCTGATGGTATGACAACCATACCTTGGACCATTGGAAAATCACTAATAGCCCTCAAACTTAAATATCTATCCACTAATACAATAACATACAAAGATTAAGAAATACAAATTTTAATAACTTCCTATTTACTCCTATAGTGACTTCCACAAATATCATTTTTCACCATTAACATATTAGTTTATAAAAATCTAGACAATAAAATATGACTTTTTTACAAAAGAAGCCAGAGAATTTTTATACATACGCCAAAAAATTCAAATGAAAAATTTTCGACATAGTTATTGTTCCTTTTTAGGAACTTATTTATATAGTTTTTTAATTTTTATAGTATTTTAATTTGCTCTTATACTGAAATAAAAAGGCATAAATTAAAAAAAAATTTAGTAAATATTAAAAACAAATATGTCATATTTTTTTTAAAAATTGGTCGTTGTTTAGTTGCAATGGAACAAACTAGATGTCTGCATTGGGTGGGTTTTTCGACCATAAGCCCGCCCACCCAATGTTTTAAAATTTTTTTAACCCGCCCGAATATCTCGCCCATAGTTTTTTAATAAAAATACACCGCTCGCTAACACCCTTTATTTATAAAAAAAATTTAACCCAAGCCCACTGTTATAAAATTTAATTCTAGCCATTCTTTCAATTTTTTAAGCATCTAATAATTCAGCATTACACCTCTACAAAAAGTTTTATAATTTAGGAAATTACTACATTAAGCAAAAAAAATATTCAATTAAATTATGGATGATTTATTTGATCAAATAAAATATTTATGAAAAAAATATAAAATTGATATTATATGTAATTATAATGCAAAATAATAATGAATCAACATTTTTGGGATTCAAATACTCTTCTTTCTTCTAAAAACCTTCCTGCAATGATAAATCCCCCGTTCAGAAGAAGGCAGTGGCGTATCCAGGATTTTCTTATAGGGGGGGGAAAAAATTTTGGGGGCTTCGCCCCCAAACCCCTTTTACCTGGCCTTCGGCCAGCTTTCCCCCGGCCTTCGGCCCGGTCTTATTTAGCTATTCTATTAAATTATTCATAATTTAATTATATTTCTATTTTTAACTATTATTTACTAATTCGTGCTTATGGATAGGATATTACAAGCCTCTTTTTTATTATTTCAAGATAGGTATATATTTAATAAAGTTTTTTAAATGTAAAGTTGAAATAAAGTGTAATGTCATTTTTTTTATAAAATTTGCTTTAAAAACTAGCCTCAGCTCAAATTCTCATACAATATAAGTAGAATATAATTTTTTTTATTGAAAATATTAATAGTAGTTTAAAATATTGACTAGAAAATAATTAAATTAACAAGTTTTTTTAACTTCTTATCAAATACAAGATTTTTAATTATTTCGTTTGTCGTTGGAACCAAATCTCTGTGTATATTTAACAGAGCTAACCCATTTAGCCGAGATTCAGTACTTCGTAAATATGTTTTCAACCCTCTCAAGTTGGAAAAAGTCCTTTCATTCGTACATGTTGTAATGGGAAAACATGCAAGAATATAAAACAACTTCGAAATATTAGGAAATTGAGCCAAGGTTTCTTTACACCGATTGAGCGCAGCAATAGCATGCTCAGGTAAAATAGCTAAACGTATAAATATTTATACCACAATTCGAATTCACTGATTAAATTTATTTCAGTATCAATCTCATAGGAATAAAATTTTTCTAAATATTTAATTTTACCAATAGTGGCATTAGAAAATGAAGAAGGATCTTTGGGTAATAAAACTTGAAGATTGCTAAAGACTTGTTTTTTATCTAAAACCCGTACTTTTATTTGCGATAAAAAAGTATCTAAGAATGGGATGAAAATGGATATTTTATAATATTCTTCAGTTGAGCCAATATTTATTTTCATCTCAATAATGGCCTAGGTGCTAGACGAGGTTTAATTAGTATTATATCATAAAATTTAGCCTTCGATTCAACGTCTACATTCATTCTTATTGTATCTACCTGTTCATGTATATTTTCCGCCAAATCAATAACCTGAACCAAATCTAAATTTGGTTTTTGTAAATTTCTACAAAGTAGTGAGCTATAGGAAAATAATTTATTGATGCAACTAGCAGCAATGATAAACTCTGATTGATCAATTGAATTCAATAATGATATCGCTGCTAACGACACATTACTTTTTTTTCATGCTCAACCTTATTTATAAATTATCGTTTGATTTCAATCTCTTTGACTAAATATTTTTCCATTTTATTAATATTTTTGAATAATATGTTGGAAAATTGATATTCAAATATTTGTAAAATTTTGATTGGTGGGGTGGGGGGGGGGGTGGTCTGGGGGGTAGGGGTAAAATTTTTATTAGCTTAAAATGATATTTATGAAAATAGTCAAATTTGCGATGGGGGGGGGAAATTTCCCCCTTTCCCCCCCATTGGTTACGCGCCTGGAAGGACTAGATGCAGGAATTGCCAAAAAATTTTCTTGCTAATCTTGATAGCGGCATATCTCTTTCTTGTCTTTTCCACCAAATTAGTTTTAAATATACAAAAAAGTTTATTTATTTTAAGAAAAAACCTTTTATGATACCAAAAAATGAGTTTTTAATATCCCAAAAAGTCATAAGAACAATTTTTAATATTTACTTAAATGATTTTAAATTTTTTTAACCCGCCCGCCCATTGTTTTTCTTAGTCCGCACATAGTTTAAAAATTTTTTTGCCAATGCAGACCTCTAGAACAACCCTATATCAGATTATTTTACCTTCTACACCAATCCCATTTCTATATCTGTTATATTTTTATATAATTTATAAACCCCCCCCCCTCCCCATCTATATCCCCAATCAATCTTTATTTATTACTTTTTTTTATATAATTTAAAAAGCACACAAAACAATCGACTTATCAAGTTAGCTTTAACTCCAGAATTCATACTGATTCCCAATTGCCACGTTTTTACATTTATACATAATGATCACTTATAATGTTTTTATATTTTAAAAGTCTATATCTTATATAAACTTTACTTTATTATATAAAAAACAATAAATTATATTATAAAAAATACCAAAATGAAACGATTGATTTTGATTTCGACTTGGGTTATAAGTAACTTGATTTATTTAATTCGATTAGTAATAATTTTTAATGTCTAGACATATAATTTTAATTATTTGCAGTTAATTAGGCTTTTTTTTAAAAAAAAACGTGATTATTTTAATTATTCCTTTTTTCTTTTATATGTGGTAAATATCTCTTTAATAGGATTAATCTACTTCAATTACTTATAAATTTTGATAATCAATGAGTTGTAATATACATTATAAGTTGCTTATAGAGTTATGTTTGATTTCTGGTCCCAAAAATATTTTAATTTATGTTACCTGGTTTAACTTATCAATTACTGAGATTATTATAGTACAAATTAAATTTAAAATAGGTTCACAATACAAATAAAATAAAATTTATAAATATTACCAAGATGCAGGTCAGAAATTAGTATGTTATATCAGAAAAATTTACTAATTTTTAAAACAAACAGTGTATTTTAAATTAATAAATATATTTATAAACATTCAAATTATTTAAATATATTATAAAATTGAGAATTAAAAAGCTAAAAAAACTTCCTAGGCTATAACTATGCACCCAGCGTCTACATGACAGGATTTTCACTGGATGCAAACCCCCTTCAAAAACCTTTGCCTACACCCCTAAAAAATTTTGCCGCCTTCAGCGGAAGTGTCTGTCTATTATTAATTTCACCTTTTTAATTTATTGATACTCTTTTCAGAGAATTTATCTAGGATAACTTAAATTAATCTATCTCTAATACCAACTATCGATATTTTGTAAATATAAAGAATTTATTTTTTAGATAATAAATTAAATTAAAACTTCCATTATTTACAATGAATTAATTATTATGGCATTATGAGCTTGCTGAAATATCTAAACCTTTTAAATGTAATTTAAAAGGTAGCAGAAAGATTTATTTGGAAAACAATGTGTATGATTGTTTGCAATATATATATTTGGTCAATGAATTGTATTATAATAATTCTATAATAAAAGTATTAATTTTTACAGCAATAAATTTTGTCCTATTTCATCTCAAAATTTAATAGATAACCTCCCCCCCCCCAAAAAAAAAAAAATTTTTTTTTATCCTACCCCCATTAAAACAGCCTATTCCCTACCCCCCTCAAAAAAATAGGATGCAAACTGTTCCTACCCCTCCCGCTCATGTAGACGCTGTATACACCTCTATTGATGTACTAATATAAATTTACAAATTTGATGAATCACAAATATAAATGTCATGGGAAAAAGTAGGTAATTCAATTTTATTAGGATTTTAGCAGGAAAACATGATGAGCTAAGAAAGAAGGTGGTAAGTTTTGTAGAATTGATTAATTTTACCAAAAAAATAACTATGAGTCAGTATAAATATATAAAAGCAAATTTTTTAAAATATTTTAATTTAAATAATACAAATTGAATATAAATAATATATGAAATAATTAGCATTTTTTATTTATAATTCAATGTTTTTTTCATGCAAATCTGATATTCTATTAATAATTGATAGTAATAATTCAATTTGGGTAATTTTTAAAGAATAGTTATATTCCTTGTTAATATTTGCCAGGATATCTTTTCTTTTATCATCACCTAATATTTTTAGGGTTACAGGCATTTGGGCTATTTCTTTTTTCTTATCACCATTATTTTGATTGACAAATTTAAGAAGGGTATATCTACATTTAATCAACATTTCCATTATAGGTAAAACATATTGCTCATAGATATTTTCAATTCTAACAAAATAACTTTTAAATTCTTTGGGATCATTTATCATATCTATGTTATAAGAATTATATAAAAGTAAAATATAAAGATAAAAATTAAGCGTTGATGCAATTGTATGAAAATTTGAATGTACTATATTCATATTATTTGAATTTAATGAATTAAGTCCAAACAAATATTTTATGCTAAAATTAATAATTTGAGATAAAATGATATGTTTTCTTTTATTATCAATTAAATTATCATTGAATAATTTTGCATATAGATTTTTAATTTGATCAATCAAATATCCTACAATTGAATCAGATATAAAATTAATTTTACAGGATAAATATTCAATCAACAATACTATTCCACATTCAATATTTAAATGTTTGAGATATTTATCCAAAATATTGGTAGCCTTTTCCCTCTCTTCTTTGACTTTATCACAAGTAATAACCATAGTTAAAACATTAATTAAATTTTTTAAATTTTTTTTGATAATATAATCAGATAAATCATTTTTATAAATAACAAAATAAGAATTCAAAAAAATGAGTAGTGTTTTAAGAGTATAAGTAGATAATTTGTTAATATATGTTTCATCATTGTGGTTATTAATTTTTCTCTGTAATAAATTACAGGAAGAGGGTATTAATGAGAAGAAGAGATATTTCAAATTTAATATTTGTGGAAATATTGAAGAAACATGACTAAATTTTTCAGGGAAAAGTAGATAACAAATAATTATTATGGAATCATGGTTAAATAATGCATTATCAGTATTTTCATCAGGTAATTTGTTTGAATAAATCAAAATATCTTTGTAAAAATTTGGTTGGTATTTAAAAACTATGAGGAGAAACTTAATCTTGATATCATATGAAATTGGTAGTATAACAAAAAATTTTATATTACAGTTGACAAATGCTTGAAAATTTTTGTAAATATTTTGCTGATAATTTCTACTAATGGATAAATTATGTAGAATCAAATACATTTTGTCTAGAAGATATAAATTCAAGCTAAAAAGATTAATTTGTTCATTCCCTGTCATATTAATATTTAAAATTCGCTTCTCATTTAACATAAATATAAGATCACTTGCTTCATATTTTTGTGATAAATTTGACATTACTATTAAAATACAATGGGTAATCAAGATATACACACTAAATTCATGACTTTCTTTTAATTTAACCATTAAAATAAGAAAGGATTCTTTAGGATTTAATGACTTAAGAATACAATTAAGGTCATCTTGAGAATCTAAGTACTTCATTACAGTCAAATAATCTTCACCATCATTTATCATATTCATATATTTATTTAATAATTCGGGAATAACTTCAAATGGATCATTTACAAAATCCATATTTCGTAATGAATGATTGTTCAAATTTTTTTTTTTATTAAAAAGTTAAAGGTAATAAATAAATTACTGTAATGTAATTTTAAAAAAAGAGAGGAGGTGCATCTAGGTTATGGCACCATGGATTGATATACCATGCAACCTACAAATTTTCATTGAGATTTGTTGGGACAAGTAAAAACCTTCCTGAAGGTCACCCGAAATTAAGCGCATCTTTTTGCCTAGTGTTCCAATACTCTAGGTCCAAAAGCACCTATTGTGTCAGAAACAATCGAGGTTAGAGTAATATTGGGAATGGTAATATATTTATTGATCTTTCTAATTTTCGATCTAACTAAGGAATTAGCAAAAGGATGGTGCAATGGGATCAACGCATTTATAATCCAAGGCTAGCGAGATCCCTCTCTTTATAGGATAAGAGTCATTCCGACAGGCCTGTTATTGTCCCCGAGATTAAGACCAGGTTCCAAAGTTGATGGAATATTAGCTGAACGGGGAGTTCTAGCAATAATTAATTTATTGCTTGGTGGCGTGGATAGCGGCTTTTAGAGAAACGGCAGTGAAGACGGTGATGGTCTAGACTTTCTATTGGGAGCTAAGGGTGTGACGATATCACAGCCTAAACGAAGACCTATTCCTATCCGAAGTTATTCGCTGGAGGAAGCAAACCAAGGTTGGAGCTAAGGCTAGCCTCAAGCCATTCATATCCCATGTTGAATTGATGATGGAGAATTACTATTTTGATTTAATGGGGGGGGGGGGGAATCAATCCTTTGATTTATTGGGGAGGGGATATTTGGGTTAAAGATGATAAAGGAAATGTCCTTCAAAGCAGCATTCGTGTAAAGGAATTCAACGGAATGCTGGATTAAAGGTAAGTCCTAATCTTGTTGTCTGGAGCATAAAGAAAAGGAAGCGCTCGACTTCCATAGGTCTAGTGCCAATCCCAGATGGGGATCTGTAGTGGTGGTTAGAAATTTGTAATTGTTTGACTTTTGGTTGTTGAGAGAAAAGCTGCAATATTCAGTGAGGCCGGGGATCGAAAGCCTATACCCCAAATTTACATGAAAGAGCAGCTTGCATCTAGCAACTGGGCGAGAATTTGTTGAGTAATTGATTCAAGGGATATTTTAACTTAAAGTTCTAAATCTAGTAGCATGTCTGGGAATTGGAAAAGAAGAGCAGAACGAAAGGCATGCAATATTTTTGGAATATAAAGGAAATTCTTTAGGAGAAAGAATGAATGATGAGATGGTAAAAATCCTAAGATTTTCTGAAGTCGGTCAAATTTAATCAGGAAGTTTTCGGTAAATTTGGATATTACTGCTTTGCCTCTAATAAAAATGAATACGACTAATAGCCATAGTAAGTTTTAAATAACATTAGCTAATATCTTTTATTAATTTTTTTTTAAATGAGTGATCTCTGATTGACTATAAAAAATTTAAGAAGCATGAAAATTAAAAAGATAAGAGAATAATTTATTTTTCTTTTATATAAAATTAAAATGGAAACGACTACGGCATACGGCTTACCAATTTTTTTAAAATAACTAAAAAAAGCCAATCTATTTAAATTAACTGTTATAGTCATTTTTTATGCTAATAAAGCTATAGTTATTTTTCATAAGCTACAAATTAGTCTAAGCAGCTATAATTAAGCCATTTCCCATCTATAGGTATATCGAAGACAAATCAAATACATAAGATTTGATAGGTCCTGGAATCAAATTAATGATTATATTTTTAAGGCTAAACGCAAAACTATTTTTAATAGTTAAAATAATCGATGTATAGGCTCTATCAA